TGGATCATTGCCTCGTGAGCCAACTTCCTCGGTACTGCGAAATTTGACTGAACTTGGCTCTGTGAGCATATTTCACTCGCGGGCTCAATGTCGACGCGGCGAGCAGGTGAGGTGGTCTTTATGTGTAATATTTTTTTGTCTTGCCATGGTGTAAAATGGACCGCACAGATCTGCATGGGCCTATTATAGAGCTGGAGGAGACCTTGCCTTGACTTTCTATGAGGAAATGGAGTCATCTTTGCTACCTTGCCGGAGAAACAAGTCTTCTCGTCACCACTCTGCGGAAGAATTAAGCCCGGACCAGCTAGAGTCGTGCGCATCGAAGAGATTCCTGAGTTGGGGCCATCGAGTTTCGATCTAAGCCCATTGGTTGTGGGGAGAGCTAACAATATAGGGCTCATTGATGCACTTGGGACTGAACGTGCTTCTCGAGGCATGGTGATACGCGTGCGCCACGACGACTGCGTTTTCCCATGCACATCAACGTCATGTCTGCAACTTCGTGGGGCTTACAGGTCGCCTGTCTATTTCCAGAGAATTCGGCTCTTCAAATCATGCGATGGGATAGCAAAGACCAAACACCTACCCGCGGTATCCTCTACGATCCTTAGGGTGAAATATTCTCTTAGAGCCAGCATTCAATCATCACCCAATATTTGAATCTAGCTTTTCCTGTCCGACATTCTCGCCAAAGGGAGCGTTGCTGGGCTGATTTTGATGAAACTCCCGGATTCCAGAGATTCCACAACTACAAAAATCACTAAAACAATCAAGATCATTCACGAAGATACTAGTACAATCCCAACATCGCTCTACCCCTCAAAACGTCAGTCAATTTTTGAAGTCCTCATTCAACGCCGAAAAACGTCACAACACGAACCGCGTCCCTTTCTTCCAACACCGTTGTAAATGGGGAATTGCCAGAGGTCGCTAAGGTCTGACTGCTGAGTGTGAACATCTTATGAAGAAATTAAAACCTGCGAATGAGCATGGGGGAAATGTCGGTTCATGGAAGCTTTGGAAGTGATTGGAGAAGATCATCCTAGGTTGGGAGGGTATCGCCTGGAAGGTGAACAGAGACAGCTAATCATTCAAAGTTCTAACTTTCTGCGACGCTAAGCAATGGCTAGGTCGCCCATTTTAATTTGCTGGACCCTTTTTAAGGCGCTCGCACGTCTTGAAGTCTATATAGATTAAGCTAGCCGTCACTTGGCCCAGTAGTCTAATGATATGCGCCGGCACAATGTAAAGTGGTTCAAAAAATTCGTCTCATAGTAGGAAAAAATCACTTTCGAGATCAGGGCTTGACTCTCAGGATCAACTAGTGTTAGATTGGTATTCATATCGGAAATTTAACTCGTAAATTAGGGAACTGATTAAATAAATCCCCACGTATTCTTCCACGATCTAGGACCGAGATGAGACTTGAAATCATATTGATTAATCAACCGCTTTCGAACTCCCGTTGTCTGCGATGCAGCAGCCCGGAAGTTGACGCAATCACCAAGCGGCCTGCTATGCACCGACTGCTCAGACAAGCTTGCATTACGCCCGTATTGGGGTGAAAAGCTGTGCAGAGTGTAAAGGTCAGCGCAAACAAATTGGCTTGAAGGTGAAATGCTTCCTCTGCCTCATACAACTGGTATTGCAGTACCCACTATTTAAGTTGCGCTTTAAAAGGAATTAGAACAGATTGTGCGGATGGATGCACATTATTTTTGATGGGCGATTGATATACTCGTGATTTTCTTGAGTTCCCTTGCGCGCCACAAGGCTATGAATATCTAGAAGGCATCGAGCTACACCAGCGTCACGCGCTACGGCCAAGTCGGCCGGCTCACGACAACATATAGTCGTGCGTACGCGGTACACTGCGACTCGTGTCGACTGGTTGCTTTTTTATCGGAAATCCAGAGATCAAATGAGGCTCCGCTCTTTGGGCACAGAGACAAGGACACCCCCAAACTTGAGTCGAAAAAATCGGGGAAAGAGAGCACTACTATAATACCTGGACACATCCAAGTGCATAGCAGCACACATGGGGATTTACAATGGGTTACTTGATTGGAAAATTAATTACCAATCTTGACAGTGAAATTTTTGTTTCGAGTTGTAGGGGTAACAATGAGAATACAAGCGTAACATAGCTAGATAGTTGAATATACTGTGAATTAAAAATTAGAAATCGCTTCGACTCAAAGGATCGCCGTAGATGAGGCAGATTGATTGTGATTGCCGCCGATGAAGAATACTGCTTAGTTTGCATGGGGAGAGGACCTGTATGGATATTTGGCGATCTTCCTCTTCCGTGTGGAAAGATTTCTCACGCGCCTCGCACCGATCTCACCTGTACATGTCCGTCATCTCCCTCGTCAGAGGAGGCTGGCTCAAGCCTTTCGCCTGGTTTTAGAGGGTAAGCCAAGGGTCAGATGGAGGATTATACACGTCAATCTCGGCCCCGACAAAGACATAAACGAGAGCTGTAAATACGTAGAAGACGCCGGTATCAAGATTTGAGCCTCTGCGCCCAACCAGGGAGAGAGAGATCTGACGATTCCATCTATCCGCCTCAGCATAACCTTCCGAGCCCCAATGTAATGATACAGATTAGCCGTGGCCCAGAGTTTGTAGCGTCTCCTATGCCTATCGGAGCGACGTGCATGAGTGACCGTGGCAAGCTGGGCTCATATCGGGATGGGAATTATCGAAGCGAAGAAGACGTGCTAGAGATCAGTCTGTTCAGATAACCGGGCTGTTTCAGGAGAGAAGCTGTCAAGCTCTGGACTACTTGCATGTTTCAGCTTTAGTCGTGTCATGTCGTCTGATAAGCCGTGGTGTTGTAGCGAGGTCTGCTGCGGGTGGGGGTCCCTGGATGTTTGAGTGACGTCTCAAGCAACAGGACAACGTTTATTTAAAGGCTTGATTCTGATGCGCCGGCATGGGGCTAGTATGCGTTCCATTATGATGCCTAGGTATTCGCAGGAGAGAAATGTTATCGGGTGATCCTTGGGGTTGAGCAGACAGAGATTGCAATTCATTCTTTTCCTCCTTTCAATACCCTATGAGTCGGACAACAGCTATGAAGAATAAGTCTGAGAACAGTGGAAAGAATTGCTTGCCGACCATCTCGTAGATGCCTTTGGACAGATATACTCTGTATTCGGATGACAATCATCCCATGTCATGCCCAACAGCCGATCCATCCGAAGAACGCCACATCGTAAGAGGATGCCATAGGCAACTATGATTTCGCTGCGCTTAGACACAAACATCCCTCAAACTGCTGCTGGCCGCGCTGTAAATCAGGGCTCGAGCGGCCATAACTCGGTAAGCCCAGACACTTGCTCATCATCGCCTTGCGGGTGAAACGACACACTCATGACCCTTGGACTTGGCTTGGGCAAACATGCCACTCAAGCTATGGGACTCTGGGTTTAGGGTGCATGCTTACGGCATGGCGAGGATACTTTGAAGCCTACCGTCCGTGGATACAGAGGCGTGAAGACTGACTGCGTGGAGCAGCTATCATGGTGATAGTCACGGACGAATGACAGTGAAGAGCTGTCTCGAAAGTTAAAAGTCGTCTGATACGTACACTAGCCGCCGATCATGCACTGTAGGGCAATGGCCAATTGCCTGCAGAATGTCTTAAGAGAAGCCGAGAAATTCGACATTGCACGGCTTTGGGGAAGCATGGCTTCTTCATCATCGGCGCGCACGAGACGAGGAGTGTGGTGATTGTGCAAGATAGAAGTCATGTGTTTTTGCTAGTCCTGGACGCAGAGGCGATGGTAGCATGAGGTTCCGGCATCCTTTCGTCGCAACATGGGGTCTCGCCTCGATCTTGGGTCCGCCGGGGCTAACCTGTCACTCAGTTGGGCCATCTCCCTCTATCTAGTGTCTCACAAACATCACTGGTAAGCGTCTGATAAGAGGCTGCGTCTATGAAGATCATCGTCCTCATGAACCAGCGCATTTTAAGGCGTACAAATCACCTGACTGCTAGGCACGAGACGCCATCTTCGTGGATTTATATGGATGGAAGGTTGCTATTAAGCTAGTGACAGGCCATGACGGGCGTATTTTGAATATGCCGAATGCAGAAGAGCCGACGTCCGTTTCGCTCGTGCGACCGATGCGCTACTACCATCGTGGTCACTCCTAGGACATCTCGGAAACCTGATTCCTCCCGACTTCCACCGGCCCGGCGACGTGAGGGCTTAAACCCAGCCCAAAACCTGACACGTAAATCCAACACACCTGCGCATTTCTCATCACGTACTGCTATTGCTGCTTGGAGGATCATGATACGCAGCTTTCAGGCCCCAGTTGTTCACTCTACTTCATGAAACTGGTCCACCACACCCGAGAGCCTGTGATTGAGCTATCGCAAGTGCATCAGGAAGGATTGTTACGATAAAGGTGTTGACAGGTCATGTACTCGCACGCAACACTTAAATGGATAAAGATGGGAATTGGTGGGATAATAACACTTGCAATTCTACACTAGGATCTTAGCTTGCCATCACTTTACTAGCGGTTATGTGTCATGTGGAACTCAGGAGAGCCTAGAAGATCTTATAACTGGATTCATTTGTACCAAAAATGCAGACATACAATACAGGGCAGACATTAAAGTAATTGCACAAACAAAACTAGGCTGCACATAAGGGATAGATTTGGTTAGAATTTAATTGAGATTTCGTTATATTTCATGACCTAATATTAAATTACCATCCTTTTACCTCCGCGTAAAATAATCAACTCCTCATCACGAAACAACCCGAATCTATTATGGTCTCGTGACTAATTATCTGTACATTTTCAAAACGGCCACGAGTGATTGTGTGTGCACATATTCTCACTAATTTATTGAGGGCAGTTTTAGGCGTTTCAATGAATCTTACCCAAGCCTGTAAGTCGGTCACCTATATTGCATATCCTAAAATGGGTATTTAGTTTAGTCTCCAGCGACGTTGACTCGAACAAATTGAATATATTCAATATTTAGCTACTATATTAGTCTTCTTCCGGCCAAAAATCTTGTGAAAGGAGCTTGTTTCGTTTCTCATTTGCTGATTCAAGAAGAATGGTTTAGGGCTACTTTCCATTGGCGGAGGGTCATTTTGCATTAGAAACTTGGCCAAGTCGCCCGTATGGGTATCAGAATAGACCGGGTTTCGGGACTGATAAATCTTTTGTTCCGGTTTACGACGAGGCTCGTTACTTGAAACAAATACTCGATTAGCCCCTTCCTCCAATTCAAGCGGCTTTGAAGGCTTGTGTGGCAACTCAGAGCCGGCCTGTGAAGAAGAATGTCCATTCAGGAGTTTGGTATGGGATGGGTGGCTAGCCATATTGCGACCAAATAGGGACATTATGACATTTGGATGGAAATTCTTTTTGAGTGACTTCCCACCAGATGTCCTGTCACCGGTTGACAGTGTAGGGGAGTCAGATGATGGTGGTGATGTTTTGAGGAAATCCTTTAAATCTTCCTTCCGGTCAAGATCTGTGGGCGACGAGTCCTGCTCATTGTCCTCATCCGAATGATCATGATATGGATCGTTTAATCTTAGGGCACGGCTTGACGGGGCCAACTTTGCTTCTATATTGCAACTCTCATCATGGATAATACCTGGTCTCACACTACTTCTGGCAGCTATGAGAGCACTGTGTGATGTTACCGAGCTATTCACTGATGTAGAGGTCCGGAGTGATCGCATTTCAGAGACAGAATTATCCAAAGGTTTACCGGATAGTCGTGCAGAGTCAGCATGATATTGATCAGCATCTTCTACACTTGTTCCTGACGAACATTCCAAGCCGAGTAATGGTGTTTGCCGGGCGAGGTTCGTTAAATCACTATATATTTCATCTCGCTGGGCTGTCGAATCACGAGTCTTTACTTTAACACGGTCCGAAGATAAATGTGAAGACTTCGGGAAGGTATCAGCTCTTCCATGAAGAGTACTATCGCTAGATGTAGCCAAGTTTCTTGCTTTTGTGTAAGTATATGACGGTGATTTTTGGAGAGCCAGTGGTGTTCGATAATTTGGCTCGAGTGGGCCAGTGTTACGAATGAAGTCAGCGAAATCAATGGTGGAAGTCTCAGGCACGGCTCGAGCATCTCTCGGTTGAGGAACGCTGGATCGAAGCCGTGTCTCAGGATTGTAAATTGAGAGTGATTCCAAAGATAACTTCGAAGCCGATTTCGAAGTATACAGGGAATTTTTTGGACTCGTCTGAGCTGTCGTATGTTTAGAAGCCGAGGCTGACCTAGATCTTGCCGCGGTAGGTCTTGCGTCAATTCGTGATGGCCCAATCGAGACCTGATGTGGTCCAGGAGTCTAGAAGCATTAGCAGGCAGAAAATATAGTCTCTCATGTACCTACAATCACGCCACGTACTGTCTGAGGTGTCAATGTATACTGGATTGTTTGATCACTTTGGATTAGTTGATCAAAGTTCTCCATAGCACCCTCTTCCGACGTACGAACTACTCTCAGCTTACGCGAAACAGATGAAGATGTAGACCCTGAAGTGTATATTGATCGTTTTGATTTTGCAGACATTGTATCAGAAGGCCGAGCAGAGCGTTGAGGCTCATGAAGACTATAAGTGTAATCCTGAATGTTATCTCGAGTAGGTTGATATGAAGAGTTCATGCGTTTGGTATCTGGAAATGGAAATGAGTCATCGTAGCATTTTTCGATAGGGCTGACTGTGCTGGCGGGCGAAAGCTGGTCCTTTGAATCTTTGCTGTGGAACGAGGCCGGAGAGACGAGCTGGTCAGTCTCGTTAGTTTCAGTGTCGCCACCAGGCACAAATGGACCAGTATATATCTTCAAAGGCCTGTGTGATATTGGTGATGATGGTCTTTGGTCTAGATTACTAGCTTTTGGTATGCATCTTGGGCCAGGTTGAATTATATCGATCCCTTGGACAGCCTCCGCAAACGTTGCTGCGTTGGGTAGGTTTATAATATCAACTTCATGTATCACTTGAAAATCTGTCGAATCGAACGTATTAGTTTGAGATGATGATACATCAATTGAATCTCCCTTGGAGTTGGCATCTTTGGAAGAGTCAGTTTTAACACCTTTAAGTAATTGGTTATCACGGAGATCTTGGGTTACTGAAAGGCTGATTGAGCGGGTAATAGTTGGACGTCGAGCTATTGAATACACTTCATTGAAAGAACTGGACCTCTTTCGGGTAGGAGGATTCAACTTTTTTTCGGCGTCGAAAAGCGATTTTTGTTTATCAGCTTGTGTGTCATTGAGCGTTACATGTGTGTTTGGGAGTTCCATATTATTGCTAGTCTTTAAATCTTCATTCTGTGTAGTGTGTAGGGACCCAGAAGGACCATCTATAGTCAAATCACAGGATACAGTTGCTCTAGGACTTTTTAGTAGGGCGGATGTATCTTCCGTCAAATTAGGGTCATGGTCGATTTTGATTTCTTTGTATGCAGCTGTTGCTTTATTCGAGTCGCAACAGAGGTCTGATTTATATTTGATTTGGTGACTGGTTGCAAACACAGATTCCACATCTGCAAGAGGAGCCTCAATACTAGTCTGAATAACGAGCCCTCGTTCACTAATTGGTTCTACTTCGCGTGAAAACCTCATTGGACTCGTGCGATGAACCGGAAGCGATTTGTAGGTTTCTCTAGATACTAGGGGTCTGTCTAATCTTGAGTGTCAGCATGATTTTTAAAGCTATAGTACGATACACCTACCCTCTAGCCTAGAATATTCTTCCGGTCTCACTTCATCCAGTCCAGGTACATGAGTGCTCCGATAACACTCCCTCTCAGCTGAATTTGAGGGTCTAGTAGCAAGGTCCAGATATGCTAACCCAATTGCGGAGGTAGGGAACCGTCTAGTTCGAGTGGTAAGATGACTCGGCAAGATGAGCAAGGTTTCTATTTTTTGGGGTATGTGAGTAATTGGCTTCCGACTGATACAACAATTTTTGGAGATAGAAGTCGACGGGGAACGAGTGCCTTTCCTCCATATCCTCCACAGCCGTCCCATCGTTCCATCTAGGGCAATCCGTTCTACATCCGCCACTTCAACCATTTGGCCTTGTCCAGCCTCAGCAAGTGTTGGAGGTTTGTTATGACTGATGTTTGTTTGCTTCAGCATTAATCTATGATTTGCGGCGTTCGCGGCGGCATTTAGGGCTTGTTCAGCCATGTGCTCTAGCACAGCTGTCAAAAATATATATTTGGCCGGCAATAGGGCGCTAGGCTTTCCGTTCATGGATAGACTGCTATGTGTGAGCTCGCATTGTTCATCGACTTCTCCGAGAGATGAATAAATCATGCATCGAATTCTGGCTTCTCTCCAAGAAGACTCGAGACTCTCGCATCTAGCAGCATCCTGGTCAGCGGATGAAACAAGAGATTCATGTTCTTCCTCCCCGGCAACGAGATAATTCAAGAGCTCTTGATCTGCGTCTTCAACCGCACCTCGCGCTATTTTAGGTTTGAGGGCCGCATAAGTAGCTTGTCTCAGGTCCGCAATGGTAGATGAGGGCGAAATAGATAAGATTTCATACAAAAGATGATCAAGGAAGGTGTTAACTAGCTTGAGAGCTGCAGGGGCCATATTGACTGGCTTTACAGCTAACCTTGGATACTGATTTTTGCCGCTATTTTCGTGGTAGGTAGTGAGAATATGCGAGGCAGCGGATGCGGCTATGAAGGCCGGTTCAGGAGTGGGACTGGCACTGGTGGGATTCGCCATTAGAGTGAGGGAAGTCGATGTAGCGGCGTAGGAGGTGTCTATCGCTCGTGACCAAGTCAATATCGAAACATTCAGGCATCAGGAGAGTTGTGGGAAGGGGGAGACGAATAACAGTACGGGACTAGGGCTGGGATAAACTGTGATGAAGTGTGTCAGCGCGGCGCAAGAGAAGGCCTGTAGTTACCTACATAAACATGTGCAAAACTGGATGCGGATGGAGTGATAGGATGGTTAAAGTTACAGCGCTTGCAATGCCGAACTCATGTGGTCGGACGGGGTTTGCGATGTGGACACAGCTATCGATGCTATGATACTAAAGTCAGGGCGCGAGAGTTTGACGAGGGAGGACACAGCCTCGACAACGTTGAGCTGTAGAAATGGGAAAAAGCTTGTGATGGAGATTTGAGGAGCCGAACAGAAAAGACGTGGGGACTGGACGGTTCGTTTAAAGCAACATGTGAGGGCTGCGTGAAGGTTGGGCGGATGTCAGCGTCGAGGATAAAATGGAAAAGACGAGGGGAGGAGGGGATGATGAGATGAAGGAGAGGAGCGGCGGGTTAGGATGAGAGAGTGTAGGGGGTACTGATGACAGCAGCAGCAACAGCAGCTAGTCGATTCCGCGTGGCAGTTTTGAGAGGATCAAGTGGACAGCGTGAGATGGTAGATCAGACGGGCAGGGGCGACGGCATGGTGAAAAGCGATGGCGGCGCGCGCGAGGAAAGGGCGCAGCCAAACTACACGGACCGACGAAGCAAGATGTATTGAGGGCCAGGGCGATGAAAAAACGGAGGGGGGCGGGGACCATGGGACTTGCATGGACAAGAGCAAGCTGATGCGCGGGTATGGGCAGCGAGCGGCGAACAGGGGCATGGAGGCGAGGGAGGGGCCCGGCAAACGCACAGATAGACACTGTGCTGAACAAGTGCAAGCGTGGGAAGACCAGCGATTCCTGGAGCTGTGTCCACGCTCTTAGTAGCGATATATGTTTCCCCAAATTCAGAACCCATTCTCTTTCAACCTCCGACACGACTTGGAAGTTGTCTTGGGTTACCCGGCCTCGCAATAGGCGTGTTGCTCTTGAAGGACCTGGCCGACTGACTGACGTCTGCTCCTTGCGCCCATCGTTGGCTGTGCAGTGACAGCTCGAGTCAGCCGAAATAGACAGTTATTTCGCAATGTCAACGAGCTGTAGGTATCCGACGTGAGCAGCGCACGCACGTCGTAACCAGAGTGGTGTTATCGTGGCGTCAGGCCATCGGAAGTTCGAATCTTGGGAGAGAACAAACCAGCGTGTACGTCGTTTAGCACATTCGCCGCGGAGGGAGAGGACAGGTAAAAATGTACATCTGGTCGCCGGGATTTCAAAGGCCACGCCACCTATACCGTTCCCACGCCCATCGTAGCGAGCATCTTGTTCTCGTGCGCATTGCAGTAGACGGTGTGGCCCTCACTCCCTTCACGGGCAGAAAAGCTGCATTGGACATGCGCTAACGCTAGGCCAGCTGCTATTCATACAATCTTTCTCGGATGGGCTCGCATGGAGAAGGTATCGGGTGCAAAGATGCATTTACATTCGCTGTAGTCACCATAGACTGTCGCTAGATGGAGACATTGGTGTCTGCATTAGTCTCCTCGACTTGCTCTTCTCGCTGAGAACGACTGATGGTACCGTCTGCTGCCTAAATCGGTATATCACACATAATCTCTTTATGGACGTAGTCTTCAAACCCTTGCTTCTACTCAGTTTTATCCCGTTGACGCAGGCACGCTGGCAGTTGCTGATGCCAGCTAATTCATCTTAATGGTCTCATTACGGTACCTTTTCCTGAAGTGATGAGTTCCGGAGACAAGGCAGGTGTGCGAGTCCTAGATGTCTCGGGTAAGCTCTTCGCTGTAATGAGGCCGGCGGTGGAGGGCTTTGCAGGGCTGGAATACGAGGCTACAAGGCTGAACAGTCTGTCACCGCTCCTCACAGAGTCTGCTTTGCCATGATGTCATGGATCTATACTTGGCCCTCAGGGTCGCGATGGGCAAGGGCTGCTTTGTTTTTATTAAGAGTCCACGTCTTGAAGTCCCACGGAAGAGATGTCTTCGTTTCGGTGGGCTGCAGGACCGCGCGCAGACGTAGCTATTCTAAGCCTTCTCGAAAGCGGCAGACCAGTTAGCATTCGTCACGTGCCATCCTGCACACTTGGGGTGATGGTTACAGTGATAGGATACCCTGGATCTGCCGCGTTGCTCCAGGCGCCGAAGCATGTGGCATATCACGCTGCAAGCTCACGTCCGTCGTGGCACAGCACACACTTGCGCAATTCTAGCGCCTCCTCAGCCGGCCTGACTAACGGACGAGGCACGATATCGCCGGGAAACAAGTTAGCATCATTCCAACGGACCGCCCTCAAAGTGTCCTCGCGTCGGCCGTGTGGAGATCTACATCTCAGCTGGCTGCAGCCGTCAACGCAGCCATATTTACAATTTGTCTTACCCCGCTCTCAGACTTCCTGTTTGGCTGCGTCGCTAGTTGTAGTGTCGCGTTCATCTGCATCTGCCAAATGATTAATTGGCCGCATAGTGCATTGGTATAAAATGCGGCCTTGTCTTTCAATCACACTATGGATAATTGTATGGAGCTCGGCAAGCCCTACGCACTACATTAGATCCCTGATGGAGCCTCATCTCATCTACGAGTCGAATCTGTAAGGAAAATCTCCCCAAACCCCAAGCCTCGTGCACGTCATGTTTGGCCTTATCCGCAGTCCCAACATGAGATACGCAAATGATCGTGCGGGGAATGAAGGTGTATAGCTCTAATCGAAGACACAAATCTCGAAGATTTTGGGCGAGGGCAAGAATATGCGACGAGTATGGAGTCCTTCACTACCCCATTCCCAGGTCATGCACCGGCTCTCAACGACGTGACCGGTACGACATGCGGAACTAAGTAGGAAATGGGATCCACAATAGAGGCCGTAGATGTAGCCAAGGCGACGCTCAGACAAGCCCTCGGACGCTGATAATGGGGGAGACAGTGAGGCCGCCTGAGGTCCAAAAGCAGTGTGGTGATTCATGTCGAGCGCGCTGAGAAAGATTCGCACTTCTGCAAACGAGGCAGTCAGGCCAGGAGCGTCCAGTTCCCGAGTAGGCTAGACGACTGTCCGCCGGCCCCTTCGCCTTGCGCCGAGCTTGTGGATCAGGTCGAGCGGTGCGATCATTTTAGGCATGCGTTATCTAGATTTCGCGCTCTTCACGACTTCTTTCTGGGCGTCTCGTGGAGATGAAATGGGTATTGGATTTGGTGGTTCAATTTATTCTTCCGCCGCGGATATGAGGGTTCCAATCTAAAATTGCTTCAGCTCGTCTGGCTGATTTAGCGCTGGAATGAAGAAAATTACGTATAGTCACCAAGTCCTACACCCCCGACTCTTGGCTCAGCCAGCCCGCTGATGAAGACTGTTGAGTCTTCGTCTCCTTGATCGGTGATTTAGATACATGCTATATGACACCCTTGGCCATTAGGTGGCTGGTTGAAGGCATGACATTCGCAGGTACCTCCTGGATATGTCTTTGTCTGCAAAGTCAAGCCAGCGCTCGTCCCTGAAGATCAGGCAAAGGGCAGTTCCAACCCTTGGGCTTCGTTTGCGCTCGCACTGTATGACTAAGACTCGCAGCAGGCGTCTCCCGCTTCAAAAAATGAATGATTGTTGACGCCACCCGGGGTCCAGCTGGGAGAGACCTGTCTTGACGCTTAGTAGGAGGGTGTGATATGTGTGATTACGCGGGATTAACTCCAGCCAGCGCCCTCAACTTAGCCTCAATCCGGGTGTGGATACGCCGCACCATGTTCGGACGCGTCTTTACCAAGTGACTAGTCTGCGCCATAGGGCTGAGAACGCGCTGGGTACTGCCCTATTCTCATCCAGCAAAAGCGGCCGCCGGTGTCGGCGAGAGCGGCCCGTGACCCCCGCTCGCATCGATCACCCTGCCTCTCCCGTCGCCGAGAGGCCGACGCTCTTTTGGCCCCGGCCGCCCTTGCAACCGGAAGACGTCCCCATCAACCGCGGCTCTCGCCCGAGATCCCGCCTGCCCATCAGCTGCTTCGCACATCAACCATCCTCCCCAAAACTAGACTGCTCCTTGTCCCTCGTATTCTTAATAATGCGGCGCTAGGCCGCATTCGCCATATTAGAGATTCGACGTAAAGGCCCGAGAGTAAAGTCGCACGCACCACACGAAATCGGGTTGTCTTCGACTGTCTGATTCGTCTGATGAGCCGGAGAGCAGCCCGCTTCTCTTCGACATGACAAAGGTCGTAGAGGATGCCAATTTTCACACCTATTTGGCTGAGCTACGCACCAGTGTGAATCCAACTAACGACTAGGGTAACATATGGCCTCAACTCGAATCCCTACCGGCATCTTAAACGCCTATCCGTGCACTATACTATCCGCTAGGGGGAGGGGCCTTGTGATGCAATTGGAGATCATCTGGACTCTTCGACTCAGCCGAATATAGCGCGAGTCGAATCCTATTCTATTGAAGAAGTGGGAGTTGGGAGTCACGAGTCCCAATCATACTGCATATGTGCGGGAATAACTCATTCTACGAGACCGCCCTTTGATAGATACGATGAAACGAGAGCTGACTTGATTATGTAGACAATCAGATATCCAAGGCGTCTTCATGCGTGTAGTGCCGGGCATAACTGACTTCAATGTCAAGTGAGCTAATCTATATGTTCATTAATCACTAACCATGTATGATGGCCGAATATCTGAACACAACGAATGATAAAATCCGTCTATAGCTCCTTCAGAGTCAATGTAGTATCCGTAAAATGCCATCTATTTCGTAAGTATTATAGACGCACTGTGCACCCAGCTCAAGCGAAGACTCCGCTCCTAGCTAGCATTATGCGGCGTCCCGTCTTGTTTCTTTTACGTAGTCACACAAGGCATAGTCTTCTATCTACTGATGCCGTTTAGCTCGGTTTGCCATTCGTT